ATTAATTATATATTAGAATAGTGATAAAAAAGCAAACATAGCATTGTATGCGTTATTCTCTGAGTGTATACGATTATATACAAACGGTATAATACTATAATGCACACATGATGTATAGGTATATAGTAGAAACATGCACGCACCAACGCAAGTCCTGTAAAATATATTGTATATTATTATATTATAATAAGTATTCACGATTGGATCACTCAGTGAATTATAAAGCGCAATTGTATAATGAACATATGTCGCGTTCTATCGCACATCGTCTGAACGGATTATTGCACATTGTAACGGTCTGTCGTTTAATTAATTTTTTTACAGTTAATTAATTTTTGGATTTTTACAGTTTGCAAGACTAATAAATTATAAAATTTTATTATGATGTGCGTATATTTTAAGTAGTATTTTTTGAAAAACTTTTTCTCAACATAAGATTATGATGATCATCCATTAAACAAATATTTTTTTGAATATAAATATATATTTAATTATAAATTATTGTGTATAAGGTTTCATGATATTATAATTTGTGAATGATATTTGCAGATAGAAAATAATTGTTATGGTTATTTAAATGTATAGGTAATAAGGAATAACTTAAATATTATATTAATATAGAATATATTTATTTAATTTCTTATTTTATAATACACATTAATCATTCAATACGTTAAATAATTTATATTTGTTTTGGGAAAGATTTTAAATGTTTATGTTTTTTTTTTTTTTGAAATGTACATATTTGATATAAATATATAATTTCCGTAAGCAAAACTATTAAATTCTCAAGGTTTAACACATGTTATATAATACTATTAATAGTAATAGATATGTATTGAAATTATGGTTTTATAAATTTGTTTTGTTAGGAGTAATAAATATGTGTGATAAATCTAAAAATTAAATTAATACTTTTCCATGGCATAAAATATAGTTTAGCATGTTAGCCTTGTACCTGTATAGTTTATACTGTTTATAGTATCTAAATAATTATTTTTAGTTCTCAAAATTTGAATTAAGGTCATAGAACATAGTTTGTCTTGAGTATTTCGCTATTTACTTTTTAACTTTATTTTGGTTTATTCATTAATATACCTATAAAGCTATAACCTTTTACTATTTGGTAAATTTTACAGTTTGGCAGACAGAAATATCATAAAAAATTGTGTTAGATACTTTCTATAAACCAACACTTAATGATTAGTAAGTTTTATAAAAAGCTAAAGTTTTTATGGTTAATATTTCTTTAGAGTTCTTTAACTTCGTTAATAAATGAATAAATAAATAATTATATCAGCTGTAAAAGTTAAGTAGTAAATTTGCGAAGGTTATAATGTTATATTAAAGATTTATTAATATTATTATATATGTAGGGTGGAATTTAATTCAATAGAATTAATGAACTAAATTGTACTAAAAATTATTTAATATAAAAATCAAATTTCTTTGATAAATATCTATAGCCAGGTGTTGTATAGGTCCAGCTAACTAGTAAAAACCATTAAATGCACCTGGGGAGCTCTAACAAACCGTTGCACGCCAATAACTTCATTCAACATATATAACTATATAGATATATTGTGTAGGGTGGTGTTCATTGTATTTTTTATTATATGCTATAAATTATAAACTATAGATGTGGACATTTTTTTTTTTTTTTTGAACTATAGTTGGTACAACTTGAAACATTTTAAAATTTTACTGCAAGATCGTTTTATTCAATTAATTAATTGTTTTGTTAATAATATATAATACTACACATTCACATTATATGACCTCTATTTTTGATACTATCAAAAGTATACACGTATCTATAGTATTTCGAAAACAAATACAAAAGATTACAAGGTTTTGAAAGTCATTTTGTGCTATTTCAATACTATCTATATTAAGATTATAAACTATAACATCAAGATATTTCTCTCAAAAATGCATAACATCGTTGAATATAACAAAGGAAATGTAATCGGATGACGATTTTAAAAATATTTTCATGAAAATACGTAAAACTAATAAAAATCAATGTACAACAATATACGTAATTAAACAAAAAGTAGGTAATGTGGGAAATCCGATTTGCGTTATAATCATTATAATATTATTCTTACATTCACCTTGGATATATTTTGAAAACAATGTAACATAATGATACTTATAAGCAGCCATGGAAATTGAAATTAGTTTTAATATTTGTTTGATTATTTTGTCGTTGTCTGCATTGAAATATAAAATAGTTAAGGTAACGTCGTTATAGTAGTATAACTGTATAAGAGAGTTTTCTATGTATATAAAGTAAATTCATTTGCTGACTAACGATTTTTAAGATTTAATTTCAATGTATTCAACAAGTTAAAATTTTTAATTATGTACAAAATAGAATGGAATATATTTTTTCGATTTATTTAATCGACCTATAATGTTCAAGATTATATATTACAATAATAAATACAAGTATTGTTTTTGAATATTTTTATATCAAACAATATATATATATATATATATATATATATATATATATTTAATACATAGGTACTAATGCTATAAATAGGTATGATATAAAATTTTTTTAATAATATACCTGATAATATAAAGTTCTGTATTCACCGCCAATAGCTTTGAATAATTTATACATTTTTAGTTCTCAAAAATTTGATGTTCGATATTTTTAATCTTACCTATTTTATACTTGTACCTATAATGTATATTGTATAATATGAACTTATTAATTATAAAGTACATTATAATATGAGATAATGAGATATTTTGAGCGGAGCATCGATGATGGTTATTATTTAGTATGTCATAAATACAATAAATTAAAAATACAGTAAAATTCGATATGTTAAATCTCAAGAAGAGTAGAGAAAACTCTGAGGTATTAAGTTTTATTAAATTAAAAAAAAAAATTGAAAAAGTAAGTAAATAATTTTAATGCTAAAAATACATAAATTGAATACAAAATACTTATATTACAAACATACCAATAAACTACAATATTTAATGAATTTTTAAAATTTTTTTTTAAAAAGATCTGTCATCAAAGTTTTAATAATACAAAACATTATAAATATATTACATTTTAACCATACAAAGAATTTTTAATTTTGAATAGATTTATTTAGTATTTTTTTTAATTGTTTCTATATGTAATTTATATATATTTTAAAGTTATAGGTTATTAAATTAAAAATTTTTCAAGATATTCTAAATAGTCAGTTGAATATTTTTGATTATGTCGGTTTTTAAAATGATATAATGTTCAACTAATTAATATTTTTTATGATTCTCGGAGTATGAATAATTTATTATTACTGAATAATGCATTATTGTATTCATTAATCTGAGCCCACTTAAAATAGCTGTTCTCAACAATATTATGTTCACCCACAGATGATTGTTACGTAAATTATTAAAAGAAATCGGATTGGTTTATTGATTAATTAAAATTAATACACTTTATTAATATTATAAAAACAATTTACTGTTTAGTAAACATTTTACCGTTAAAAATTTGGATAAAAATAGAAAGTAAAAAAAAAAAACCCGTATTAAAATAAACTTATAGCCTTGGTTTATTTATTTGGATCAGTTAAAATAACAATGCGGAGAAAGTTTAAATAGGTATATCAATTGAATAATAATATTTAGTATATATTAAATCAAAAATATTAGTTGTGTTGTGTCTAATTCAATTGTAATATATTTATATATATATATATATATATATATGTAACATATATTAATGTGTAAATAATCTTTAATGTTAATAAAAATAAGAATCCTACCTATCGATCTACCTCTAACTTATTATTATTTTTATGTAGGCACATGCATGAAAAATTACTGTTTTGCACATTTCATTCGCTTTATTTCCAAGTCGTTTATAAATTATTTACAAAGCTCATTATTCATTATCATGTAAATTACATTAATTGACATGCTATAGGGTAGTTTATACATTTTATACTATGACGTGACAATGTGTATAATATCCTTTACTTATTTTAGTTATTTGCAATTAAAAAATAGTTTAAAAAACTCGTGATTTTATTTTGAGATTATTGATTGTTATATACTTATAAATTTCAGGTTGTAACTAATATTTGATACAATATTTGTTATCGAATATCGATTAAATGATTATGAGCTATGATTTATTTCAGCTATAATATTTTTAAATTATAAGAATACATCAATTTAAAATATAAATAATAGTTGATAAGATAAAAAAAAATTCTATTTATTTTGTAGTAAATTTATTTAAATTATAATAATTGTTAGATTTTACTAAAAATTTTATTTTACATTTTAAAATTAAAAAAAAACCCAAATATCGTTTTTAGTTTAGGTAAATTTTACATATTACGGTTATTGCTAATCTAAAAAAAAATTGTATGAATATACTTATCTATAAATTTCTACGTTAATAAAATTTTTTAATTTGTATACACAAAGTAAGTAACAAATTATAATAATTTTTATTATCGCTTTTGTATAATTTTATGTAAATCGAAAATCTTAGGTAAATAATTTTTTGTTAAAAAAAAAAAAAAAAATGAGGTTATAAACGTAGGTATTGTAAAATTAATAATAATATAATGGCAATATATTAATCTTTGTATATTACCGTATTGCTTTGTATTAAGCCCATTTATGTTTGATAATTTACATCAAGATATAATTATGATAGTGTTAAATCGTTAAAAAAATATTATATTATATTACGTACACACACACACATATATATACATATGTATAAAAAACTAGCATACCTATAATAAATTAATTAATTTGTTGGGCTTTTAAAATGTTTTATTAGTACATTACCTGCAAATAATTCCATTAATAATTGCTATCTATGTAATGAAAACACGCTGTTAATCGTTTTATTTTCACATTTTCATCTTTCTAAATGGATTTTATCGATAATAATATTATATATTATAAATGTCATAAACGGAAACGACATTCAATATATAACTGTCGATTGTTTGCAGATGGTTAGCGAGTGGTGGGCGCTGATGGTGTTGATGTTGTCTGTAGCCTACGGACACGCGCCTTGTCAACAATCATACGGCGGGTGTAGATACAACGAGCCCTTCGTTCCCGCGCCTGTCGGTCAAGTCCCCAGGTGCGTCCAGAATTATCACGGTGACGTCACATTTTGTGAAACCATCGATAGATATCCAGAGTAAGTCGTTTCAAAAATATATATAAATCTCGAATGAAGCTGAAAAAACTCGCAAAAATTATAATTTATTATAATTATACGTCTGTACCCATGTAAACATTATTGATGTGGACAATTTTAATCACAATTTAATTTACATATTATTTATATTATTGGAATAATATGATCAATAATGAAACTTAAACATTAAAGTTAGTAAAGGTACTTATACTGATCAATGCTCATTATATTAAACGTACATAGTTAAATAAATATTTTGTGTTCTACATACAATATACATATTTACTATGTACATAAATAAATATGGTGTCTGAATTTATTTTTTTAGTATTGAATTCTAAAAATATTAAAACGATATAGATAATTTACCTAGCTAATAAAAAGGACTAGAATTTGAAATCTCCTTGTAACGAAGAATTTGTCGTGGAAATTCTGTTTTTATGTACTTTTAACTAATTATTAACATATGAAGGGTACACTGAAAAATAAAAACCTATTTAACCATAATATTGTTTTATTTTACAATAGTTGAACAATGACATTAATCTATAATATTCTATTGAACAAAATCAATTGCCATTAGCTTCATAACACTATACGAATGCTTGTATCTAAACTTTTATTTATTGGGTACCTACACCTATATGAGTTTATCACGAGTTTTACTTTTTTTTATGTTATATTAATGCCTTGGTTCTTGTAGACCATATCCTAATAATATTTTTAGTTACATTCAAATACGTTAAAACAGTACAATTTACACTTGTTTATAAATATCCATGTATATTGTATTGACGTATTGTTAAAACTTTAAGTTAAGATTCTAAATTTTATACGGAATTTTTGATCTTCCTAATTTTCTACAAACAGGTCACAGTCTTAAAAAGAGAATACGTTTCCACTGTTCCTTTTTTGTCTTATTTATTATGTTAAAGTATGACCTTTTAATGTGGAATATTTTCACAAATCTAGTGATTGTGTTCAATATTGTAAGTGACGCACTAGATTTTCCAATTCCGAACTATTACAAATTCGTATTTGTATTCACGATTCTATTATAATTTGTGATCAATGGTAGACTTTGAGAGGGACTTCTAGAAGTTTAGCCTCTCAGAAATTTAAATATCTCCAAATTCGAGTAGAATTGTGTAAATTGCAACTGTATACTATATAAATAGTAATCGTGGTTACTGTGGGTAATGATAACTCTTCAACATTAATTTTTTTTATCGCCAAATTTGATCGTTTATATGAGTTTGAAAAACTTACAGCAGTTAATTTTGACAATCTAACGTCTATAGTTTTTGAAAACTTTGACAATTACCTACAAAACGTTAAAGGAGTCTTTATTTTGTTACTTTAATGTAGAAAAATTCATAATTATTGGATAAAAAAAATAATAATGTAATAAAGTATTATTTTTTAAACTGATACGGTACTTGAATCTAATAAACCTAAGCCATTAACAGAAAATAAATAATAATTGAGAATTAATAAATGATGTATCAATGATATTAAAATCAGAATCATAAAGCCAATTGTCACTTGTCAGTCAAGACATTAATTTATAATGCAGCTATAGTAAATTAGTGATAAATAAAAACAAATTCATATATATATATATTATATATGCCTATAATATTGGACAATTAGTACCTGTTTATACACCAATAATCGTATAACTACATGCAAAGAAAATTATCTTAACTTCAAAAAAAAAAAATATATATATATAATAAAAAATTAGCTAATGAAATTAGATAACTTCAAAAAAAAAAAAAGTACGATCAACATAATGATAAATGTACTTTATTTAATACATATGTAATGATGCATTAATAACGTAGCTATAGCTACAACACTCGCTCTATCTTCTTCTGATTTTTTTTTCATGAATCCAATCAACAATTAGTTATCCATTTGGTTGCAACTCTCATCTGGCGATTAAATCAAATTAACGTAATTTAGTCGAACTTACCATATCAATATATTATGAACTGCGGTTGTTTAGCTAAATTTTAATATATCTACATCAATAAATATGATGTTTGTTTTATGTTAATCATATTTAAATATTGAACACTAACTTATAATAAACATATTACAGACAGTTAATAAGTTACCTGGTTAAAAAATCGGATAAGAACTTTAAATCTTTTTTCAACGAAGAAAAACTTGTCGACAGACCATATTATCAGAAGTAACATCCAAAAATATGCTTTTTAAATTTTTTAAATTTTATAAAAGATTGATTTTTGATTTTAGTCAGAATATAAATAATTATCATAATGGTTATGGCAATTACCATGATTATCAAAACGATACCCAACACGAATTTGTCGGCTATCCGGATAGAACATACGTTTTACCTGAAGTGTCCTTAACAGAGTCACCGATCATAGATCAAAATCGACATCTAACTTCCAAGTAAGAAATTAATTATAGATAGTATAGATTCTCAGGTAAAAATACTTGAAATAATTTTATTTTTTATTTTAATATATTATTTTATATTTCGACTATTATAATTTTGTTTGATTGCCAAAATATTAGTCACCTATAAAAGATATAAATATTCCTAAGATGTTAAAAAATAGCTCACTATTCTAATAAGTAATAACGAAATAAAATTGATTGATTTATTGTAATTTTTAAGTGCCAATCATGGAGGTGTATATAATAGAAGAAAAAGACAAGATGATGTTCAATTATGCCAAGTTAAAACCAACAATATATTTCCTAAAGCAGCATTAAACACTCAAGGTGAATGGAAATATGTAGTTAATATGGTACGCATCTCGTCTGATATGTATACACAATCCATAAAATCGGAAATCTGCGCGTAAGTTCAATATTTTTCATTAAATTCTTTAAATTATTGTTGCTAGCTTTGCGCAGTGGCGATATCGTAACCGATGAGGTCCATCCGAGGTGCGATTATTGCTAGTTGAAAAAAAAAATTATTGTTGCTATGCCGTAGACTAGTATAATATCTACACATTAATGTACATATGTTTGCCTATAACTAACGCCGTTTAATTATAAACAATTCTATAGTTTTATATTTTATTACCATATTATGTTGTTAATTAGTTTTTTCATTTTTACTTTAAAATGTATAACTTTATTTGTATGTTAAATATATTTTAAAAATTTTTAATTTTATTTATCACGCTAAATATTAAATATTCTATGAATCAAATCTCAGGTACGGTAAATTTACAGTAGTCCTAACTCATTAGTACAATAATATTAAAATATGTACTATATACGTAGAACTAATTTGCCAATTGAGAGTTATAGATTGTTTTAAAAATTAAATTAATTTAAATATAATTTAATATTTTATTATAAAACACAATTTAATATGATGCAAAACATAAAATTGATTTTTCATAAAAATACAAATACAATGCACATAACATATTATTACAAATTTTAAAACGAAATGGTAATTTTTATATTATTAGAATATCGTAAATCTTTAACCAATATTATAAATAAAACAAACAGTTTTATATAAAGTCATAAAAGTCTTATTTGTTTTAACTAAATAGCGAATTCTTGCCCTACCAAAAAAAAAAAAAAACCATCATATGTTATATATAAGCATTTTGCATATAATTAATATTACTAATATAATAAATGTCAAATAAAAATGTACAAACAACTGCGCACAATAATTAAAATAAATGAAACATTTTCATTATAAATATTAGTTTGGTTTAAATATAAATAGCAAGTAAAAATATATCATAAAAACTTGGATAAAATAATAAAATTAAGTGTTCAACAAAATAAAAACATATTATTGACTATACAAATGTCCACATATATTTTTTTAAATAATTATTTAATTTTCTTTGATAAAAAATGTTTAAACATAAAATTTTATTAATCTAGCAATAAAAAATTTTGTCCGATCATATTTCTATTGAAGAATAATTCAAATAACATTTAATATTATTTTTCTACGATAGATTTTTGTTGCAAACCCATAATACATTTTATTAATGATCGTTATTAATTACATAAAATGCACTATGTTAATATAAATAACATAGTTAAATTTTATATTAATATGACTTAAACGATTTCATAAAAAATATAATAATAGTAAAGAATTTTTCAAATAGCATTCATATCAATCCATTTGAGTGTGTAAACGGTTTTTATTTTCATGCCTGCATGCGAATATTATTCTTTTATATTTTTAAATAATTTAGTCACGGTAGTCGATACAATACAATAAATAATATTATTTCTAGGGAACCGGATCAGCCGTGCAACGGAATCTGCGATACACCTCTTGGTTTCAGTACATCGTGTAAACAGAAATTTGTTCAAAAACGGTTGGTAGCATTGCAAGGGACCGGAGATAATTTGTACGTGGACGTTTTTTGGTTTCCACATTGCTGCTCTTGTAACATAGCCAGAGTTGAACAATAGTAGTAAAAAAAAAATACCTACCTGTATATTATATTTTTGCAACTGGCGTTTTTCTCCTAGGAAAAGACCACTCCTCCCCAAAAAAAGAAATTTTATGATTTCCTTTACTGCATTAATAGGTACTATTAATATATAAAATTGTATACATTAGTTTGTTGTGTCAAAAGCCAATATTTTATTATGATATGTAGGTACTATATATTGCATTATGAATAATGCGATTTAATAGTAGTCACGGAATATTCAAATGATTAATATTTACTCATAGTTATTTCATCCGTAATTAAACATGTTATATATTATTTATGACTTGTATTTTTTTTTGTAAACAGATATTTTTAATGTTTCATTTATAATTTATAATACTTAATATAATATCGTAAACATCTTTTTTTTTTTTTTTTAATGAATAAATTGTTTTAGTACTTCTAATTATTGACGATAATTAAGTTTCACATAAATACAAAAATAATATATAATAAATAATTCTAAAAGTTACAAAAAGTTTACATTTTAAACTGTTCTCTTGTTATTTAAGATGAAAAAGAGAATGCTTTATTTAATTAAATACAAATATTTTTTAATTATTTTAGAGAATTATTTATTTGTAAGTTAATATAAACTAGTTAAATCTATATAAATATAAAAAATAATAATATTTAAACTTTTTAATATTGATAAATGACGAATATTGTCACTAAATCATTATTTAAGTTTATGTAATTACTAATTAGTATCTGAAAAAAATTTTCATTCATATATTTATATTAAAATAATTATTTATTTTTATTGGTGACCATTTTTATAAAATTGTAAAAATATATTACAATAAAATTATGGAATTTTTATTGTGAACAAAAGTCAATATCTTGCTCGTTGTAATTTCGATTTATCAATCTTTCGGACCAGGTGTTTTTTTTTCAAGAAAGAAACCGTGTGACAATGAGAGATGATTTCTGAAGTGAACACAAGTTAAATTTACTGATATCATTAAATGATGAATTTTTATTCACTGACTACTTACATAAAAAAAAAAAAAAATCAATAAATCAATATGACAAAAATATGACACTGCTGTAGTGTTATCATATTCCTTAAGAAACTTTTAACTATTGATTATTTGATTATTGACAACATAATTAGTTAGGCATTATATATTAATAAGTAATAATAGAAATAATTTTAAATCTTTAATTATTAATCTAAAGCATGAAGCATATTGTTGATTTCATAATTAGCTGATTAAAAAATATATAATTTTTTTGAAACTTGATATAATAATATGCTGTTTAAAATTTGGATTTGGAGTCAAGAAAACAAATACAGTGGATTCCGCTTAATGTGGGCACGTTAAGACCAGCTCTGTTTGCCCACATTAAGCGGTTGCCCATAAAAACCGAAATTAGTAAAAAAAAAATAATTTTTATAAAAAAATATATTTGTATTATCATATAATTGAAAAAAATGTTAAATAATTACTAGGTATATAAATAAAACTAAATACCTATAATATATTAAATAAAATTAATCTTTGGTTGTAGAAGGTATACAAAACGTTGTAATTTTTCGTTGTCTAAGCTGTTTAGTATGGATCTGGTTGACAAAATGGTCACACGCTTCAAGTTTATCAGACGGACTATTTTCGTTTCCCTCTTGCATGAAGAACTTCTGCAAGAAATCAATGCACTTTTTCGCCTCTCTTTGGTGAAATTTGTTTGTTTGAATGTTTATGATTTTTATTACTTTCGATAAACACAATCTCATAAATACGACAAAATCCTATTAAATTAGTCATTTTTAAATACTTATGTGTATATTCTAACGCTATGATAAAAAAAAAAAAAAAATTGCCCACATAAACCGAATCGAGTGTTCATATTACGCGGTTTTATTTAACATTGTTAATATACATTTGTATTGGGACCAGACATGTTTGCCCACAATAAGTGGATGCCCATATTAACCGGTGGCCACATTAAGCGGAATCCACTGTATTCATTAAAATAATTATGTAATTTTTTTTTTTTTTTGTTAATATTAATTATTAGCTATCTAAGTATTTAAAAATATAAATATTAAATATTTTTTAAATATTTTTTTATCACAATTAATTGAAAAAATTAAACATATTATATAATGAGTATATATTTTATTGAATAATTAAATAGCGTGTAATATGTTATTACATTGTATATGTCGTCATTAGTCTTTACTTGTTATGATATTTTTAATTACAGCCGATCGGATTTTATTTCATACAGACGTTGGCGGATTCTTAACAATATTTGGCAAGCAACGAAATCGGATAAGCAGAAAAAATAACTCTAATGATAACGATTATTTCTTTTATTGAATCATAAACTTTGCTTGATTCGCAATAATAGTGACTACATACAGAGTCGATAGAGTGTAATTAAATTAGTGGCTTACACAGTTAAAGGACAAATGAATACAGACAGAAGGACATAAATAATTTTAGTCTGTAAATGTTACATACAAACATGACAGCAAATATCATCCTTTTACCTTTACATATGTATTATATTATAATATTTATTATCCTATAAATCACGTACAACGATTTTTTCATGGGAAACTCAAAATACACATTCCACGCAAATATAATTGTGTGTATTATATAATAATTACCTATATATATGAGTATACAATTTATCTGTTATCGAATATATGAATGAGAGAAATAAAAGCACGTTGTAATGAATATGACATACCATTTTATACATAACTTCATTTTTGATATGCCTACTGTATACGTGAAATAAAAAAAAAAATTATTTAGATTATTGAATTAAACAAAACTTTTTTTTTTGAATTAATTTCTGCAGCATATACTATATTATATAAAATGTATTAATACATATTCATAGAAGAAAATAATTTGGAAATTTCTGAATGTTTATAAATAGCTCAAAAGAAATTTAAAAATATTTTTAAAATCATATCATGTCTAAAAAGCGTTTTTATGAAAATGTAATGAAATATTCAAGTTTATACAAACATTAAAATTGCTATAGCCTACCGTATTTAATAATTTTTGAACTGACGGCGAATACCAGTTGGTAAAATCTGGCACTTGTTCGTTTTGGAATTATATTATAAAACAGCAAAAAAAATTTGGTTAAAACTTTTTCTTCAGTTATTCCAAAATTTTTATTTAGTTTTCAGAATTATTTTGAAAAGTTTATTGGGAATTTTTCAGTTTTGCATAATCATCATTGTAAAACCAATGCATTTATCATTCTGCGTTTCCCCTTAAAATCCAAAATTATATTTAAAATGAATGTTTTTTATACTTTTTATAATGGGTTTTGTGACTTTTTAGGAAGATTTTAACCTACATGTAATATCTCTGTCTTAATGTAACGCCGATAGACAGGGGCATCTTGTTAATATGATACGTAAAAAAAGAAATAAAACTATATGTTTTGTTTATGATTTTTGCTATTAATAGTTGAAAAGACTTAAGATTTAAAAATGTATTACATACAAATACAATTTATAAATTTAATTTATTTGATGTTCGTACACATTTCATGGTATGGTGCACGGATTGGAGGGTGTCAGGGTGGTATCTCTTATTCCTTCCTCTAATCAGAGACGGAGCCTAACGTACATCATATGAGATTTGCGTTTATCGGAATCAACACGAAGTTGTTTGCTAATGGCCTTAATATTAAGATGGATTAACTTACATCAAATTTAAAGGTAAGAATATTATCTAAGGCATCTCTTAGCATTTGATTGATATTTTGATTTTGATTTAAGTTATAATTATGAAAATATATTATAAATTTTAAATGCTTGCTGTAACTAGCTTTTAATTTCAATATTAAATAAAACCTTTGAGACGTCATAAAGTCTATATGATATTTTTACCTTTAAATTTTATAATTTAAAAATTATAAAGCTATACTTAACAACATAAAATTGATTGCGATTAAAAAGATTTGTCAAATTGTTCGTTTGTTTCAAAATACCCGCAGACAGTGTAAGCATAAAAGAAAAAAAACTATGATTGAAATATTGTCATAGCCTTTTTAATTATTTATAGATTTGATAACCGTGTTCTACGAGTGTTGCATTTCATATATTATTGCATTCAACCAATATGGTGGTTTTTATGTCAACAATAATATATTATGTTACAAAGCGAAATTATAAATTGTGGTTTTAGAGATATATAGTTAACAAATGCTAAAATAATAAATATTAAAAAAAAAGGTTATTTATAGTAAAAAAGAAAATTAAAATTTGTGATTTTACCCTAAGGTCTACTGCAATTTTTTTTTAATAAATTTAAAATAAAAACTATACTTATAAAATAATCAGTATCATCTGAAATACATTTTCCGCTCATAAGGAACTAAAATTCTAGACAGAAGTTACTATCTCAGTCCTAAAATTAAATACTGCTTATTATTAGGTGTAATAAAAATTGTGTATTTTATTCTATTTCTAATTGTATTATAATTATTACTATGTGTTATAGTGTTATAATTTTTGTTTTTTTGATAAAACAAAATTGAGTTTTAAACCAATTTTAATTACATTAAAATATGTTTAGAAACATATATTAGAACTGAAAAAATAAAAGTCACTGTGGTAATAATATCGAATCTATTGGCGTACCTATATAATATATTCATATAACTTACGTTATTAAATATTGATCGTGAAAATTCGTGTTAAAAAAAAAAAAAAAAAAAATGAAATACTTATTAAAAAGTTTCGTTAAAGCTTATTCATAACTCGATGAAATTTAATTTAAGAGTCTGAATTTTATGAGTAATGATTTTTAGGTGTTTAAAAAATAGTTATTAAATAATAGGTATACTGGAAAAAATGAAAAAAAAAGAATAAATTAATAACGAATATTTATGGTTCTACGGGCGCAGGGATGTATACAGCCGAAAACTCGATGGACGTTTTTAGTGGCTCCCAAAGGAGTAAACGGTAAACAGTTGTGTTTTTATTACTCAGTTTTGATAAAGTGTATACACTATGTACAATACCTACACATCACACCCATAGCACAGGACTGCCACAATTCAAAAAACATATTTGTGAGAAACTGAAATTTTAATAACGAACCAATTCCTAAATGTTTAGTTTTAAAATTTTGATTATAATACGTTTGCTAATCATTTATAATATCTTATATTATTTTATAACAACTGTAACAAACTATTTTCAGTTAAATCTTAACCAGAAACATTCGCAAAAACTGAGATTCTTATTAAAGGGTATTTGGATGATAAAACTGTTGTATTTTATGGTTTTGTGTCAGTTTTCCATTTCAAACATGCAGATGTCTTAAACACAACAAATAGAAATGTGGGGCAGTTCATTATTTTTTCATCCACTCCTGTCACAATTGAGAATTATCATACTAAAACGTCTCAAATCAAATAAAAACGGCAGCGGTATTGATTTCTTTGATTACGAAAAAAATAAAAAATAATTGAATAAATACAACCACGCAACAAAACAGTGTGTCAGAATGTGGCGGTTTAATTGTTTTTTAATCGCTGTAAAAACGAATAAATCCAACACCGACGTAAAACATGCACTGCAATGGGTGTGATGGCATTGGCGTGGACCGTACGACTTCTGGTATATTGTACGTGTTTTAGCATCATCTTTTAAATAATTGATTACGACTCGATTGAGTTAGATCGAGTTGAGGCTAAATATATATATAGGTCGATTTCCTTCGCTCGACAAATCCTATACGTCTTTGAGTTCCGGCAGTCTTGTTCTCGATATTTATATTCATTTGCGTCGTTGTGTTTATGTGCGTGCGATTTATGGAGGTAAGAGTGTTAAAACTATATTTTATTGCGACGATCTCGCGAAGTCGCCGCCGTATTTCAGATATCATTCAGACGTCTCTCGATCGCGTCCCGCAGTATTGTCCGGCGATATTGTTCACGCCGTCGTCCCGTGTACGCGAAACCGTACGCCGAGCACGCATACACCTACCCAATACGCGATATTATATTTTTTATAATACCGCAGCACGCCATGGCGAACTCCGCCGACGAGCGCACCGCAACAGACGATTGTACAATAATTATTTTATTTAATTGTTTTTTAGTTCCTCCTACTCACTGCCGCTGCCGCAGCCGCAATACTCCTTCGTAATACGCTGCGCCAACAAAACTTTACAAGCCCGTCCGTCGACCGGCCTTTTGTTCGCTACACAAACTGGTTTTGTATTCCGATTAAAAGCAATATTAAATAATTAAAACGGAAAAAAATACATACACATATACATATATATATATATATATGACAATGAATAAATGAACGGCACGGCATATGTATGATGTACGCATATTATAATATGAGTTATATGACGCATATGTATATTATATACACATACACGTACTACTGCCGTGGCGGTAAATAGTTGCGGGGGGGGGCACAAAAGGGACGACGACAGTGGGCGGACGGGGGTAAGGTTCTGGTGCGTTATACGTGCATAAATACGGTATTGCATCACGGAGGCAACGAAGACGGCATAATAGGAGGACGATGCGGCGGAGGCGGTGGCGGCGGCGGTGGTGGTAGTAAACGCTCGCAGTGACCGCGTGCGTGCGACGTCGGCGACGGCTGCACGCGGTGGTGTACAGCTGCCACCCCGTGGCGCGGCGGCAGCGGAGGGGGCACCTGGTAGGGGGATGTCGCCGCGGTTCCCCCCACCCGATAAAGGCGACTGCCCCAACGGTGCGCGACGACGAACCGATATCGCGCGTGTGGTGGTGGTGGTGGTGGTGGTGGCGGTGGTGATGCGATGTTGGTGATGGTGGTACGATATGTACGTCGACGGCGCGAAAAAATAATAATATATATATTGTAATGACGATATATAATAATATTATAATGTATAGAAAAATTATACACGAAAACCTACCCCTCTAGCGGACCGGCCGACAACTACAACTGCGTACCGCTTAAGCGCGCGGTGGGCCGTCGCCGTCGCGAGCGCCGTCTGCGATGTGCGTATGCGCGCGCCGAACGTTATATTATTATGATTATTATTACTATTATTATTATTATGTACCCTGTGTGCAATGTGCGTCGTGCGTGATGCGTGTGTGCGTGCGCGTATGAACTGATGTGCGTATACGTGTGCTTATGCGTGTGTGTGTGCGTGCGCGCGTGTGTGTGAGTGCGTGGTGCCGCCGCGTCCGTCCGTCCGTCGTCTACACCCAGGCAACAGTCGTGTCGCGGTGCGTGTGCGTATGCGAGCCCCAGTGAGTGGCGCGCGCGTGTGTGTCTGTCGTGTCCGTTTAGTTGTCCGTTTATGTTTGTGAGTGTGATAAAAAATTTTTTTATTTTCGAATGAATGTATGCTTGGACTTCAGTGAACGCGAAAAATTTCTCGTCGCATAAAATAGAAAAAATTTATTTGTTCTCGTCGTCCTCTCGATTTTCGCTCGACCAAAGTGCAGTACGACACACGCACACTCCGGGACCATACATCTTAAGTGAGTACTGAGCACCTCCTCAAAAACAACGGTTATTTATTATTATTATTATTATTATTTTATTTTTATTTTTTTGCTACATATAATGTCTTGCAGATGCTATTATAGTATCTATCAACGAAATACAAAAAAATATCGCAGTTTATTGTGGCGATATCATGTTGTAACTCATATTTTTAGTAGGTAAATAAGTTAAAATCGAATTTTCGTCATTATACCCTTATTATTATTATTTAATAAGTATTAAAATTATTTTAAATATTTATAATATTTACTTTTTATTTTATGTAACTGATCTTTTTAAATCCCAAATCGATAATAGGTATCGGTAAACGAAGAGCTTTTGTCGTTTGGCAATTTTAATTTTCGTTTTCATTATCATATTCATCATTTTATGTATTTTGAAGCTTACACGTCAACTGACGGTGGTTTATGATTGCGGCGTCGTTGCCCGCGAAAATTTCCCTTTCAATTCATTTTCAAACATACAGCCTCTCTATTGAAAATGAAAGCGTAATACCGGAAACATCCCGGCCTCTGACCCATATATACGTGACTTTGAAATTCCTTATTTTTGTTGAGTTTCCCACGTGAATTTTCTTTTTATCGTTCATTTTTTGTAAACTACCCTTTTTTTATATGTTTACACTCACGTGGTCGTCAAAGGGATTTATTGACTTCGTGAGTTGTGACAAACCTATTTTCGAAGCTCTTTTTAATTATTGACTTATTCTTTTCGATAATTTTCACTCATCGGTTATCTGGTCGGAAAGTAAATTATATCTTTATAATTGGCTGTTGTCATATACGCGTACTCATACAGTAGCAGTTTTGATCAACAGCGTTTTATATTTACAACATGCGTATATATGTGTATTTATATTATTATATATACATATATATACACGAATTTGTGTATGTCATTTTATTAAATAAAGTGTTTTTATTCAACAATAAAAACATCCTTCCTGATTAACCGACGTGCACGACCGCCGTCGCAGATTATTATTAATATTATTATTTTATTATAATGTGGACCAGTTTGTGTTTTTAACGTGGTCTAACGTTTAGAGTTTCACACGGAACGGTTTTCGGAGGGAAAAATTGTAACTAACATACCAATAAGCGGTTACTAATATAGGTTTTTTTGTTGATTTTCGATTAATTCGATAAAAATGATATATTTATACTTGTGCCAATGACATGAGTTTTTATTTGAACCGTTTATGTGATTGAAATTGGTGTATAAAGTAATTTTGCTACCGATCATTGTAGACATTCCACAAAACCGTTTTAGAGAAGGAATCCATCGACCGTTTTACTAATTCAATATAAGACCTAATGTGCTTGAGCGGAAAATATTTCGCATTATCGTGAAAACGGGAGAAACTTCTTGTAGGGTTGAGTATTTATGTGGGATATACTTGTCTCTATTGCGTTTTCCGCGTTAACCCTCGTGTGGAATTACTTCGTGGCGTAGGTCGCGGGGTGTGTCTTTATTTTTAAGAAGTTTCACCGTTGACATTGACATTTAACGTATAAAGCAACAATCGTTACAGATTTTCTGCAATTCATGTACCTACGTTTTATAATTGAATTATTAACTATAAACTAGTATTATATATTATACCCGCCCATGGATTTTGTACACATACATAAGTATTATATAAACCTATCACCTTTATTACGATTAACGCACACACGATCTGTCTATCGAACTATAATTCCCTATTTCGTTTTCCCATTATTATTATAACTGTATAATATCAGGTAGGTACACTTCGTTTCGGCAATATAAATCAACCCCTTTGTTATTATTTATACGTATTATACGTGTGGATGTAGTATATATAGGCACGTAGGTACCAATAATCCTGTGAATATTGTTGGTTTAAAGAAAGAAACTGAATCATTCCGGATTGTAATAATATCGACGTGTTACTTTTGATGAAATTTTCCTGTTTTTATTATTGTAATATAGATGTAACGATCGAATTTTTTTTCTGTTTTGATTGTTCGTAGTGTACGTCAGAAGTGACGCGATGGGAACGTGACGCTGGCTGCAACGTCAGCTAGTATGAGCGAGGGTGGCGGGGAGGCCATGGCCTCATATGGTACGGCGGGTTACCCGCCACCACAGCCTGCCACCCCGTCATCAACTGTACCCGAGTCGAAGACACCAGGCCCGGCACCAGGTCTTCCGCCGTTTAGCTCGTTTTCGGCGGTCGAGTTGGCTGAAGGACTAGGCGCCAGGCTCGGTCCAGGGGACGGCTACGACCCGACCACCGGTCGAATAATGGACATGCACTGGGACTACAACCCAGACGGATTGCACAGGCCGGATCTGTACCCGACTACGATGATAATACCACAACCGCAATCGTATCGGCCTTGGGAGAGCAAGCTGGACGGCAGCAACTCACAGGACTCCATGTCCAAGGGGTCGTTTGACTATCCTCCATCTCCGGCCGGTAGCAAGTTGCCGTCGTTTCAATCACAGTTTAACTTCCAAAACGACCAACAGCAACCGGAAACAGTTTCGTTGACCACGCTGACACCAGCGGCCGTGTCACCGACACAGTCGCCTGGTTTGCCCAGTTTTCACACGCTGTCTACGGTGAACGTGGCAGCGGCTACTGGACCTCGAGGTTATCCAACCCTAGTCCCGGGCATCCAGCAACAGTTCCTGGACGAACGGGCTGGCACCATACATTTGTTCCAGAGTCCACAATACCCGCCGCCCCCGCCCCCGCCACAAGCGTTCGCGCAACAAAATCACCATCATCACCACCCACACCAAAACACCATCATTCAAGGAAACTTTATGGGTGCCCCACACCACCAGTCCAACCAGGCAACACTGTTGACGGTGGTGAAAACGGAACCAGTTGCCATCGTGTCCGCACAGATACCCAGTCACGTATACCAGACCGCAGGTGGTACGTACATCGATTCGATTAAGATGGAAGATACGCTGTCGCCGCGCGGGCTACAAGAGTCTCGGAAAAAAGAACGGCGAAAAGTACGGGCGTCCAGCATGGACAGCTCTGTAGAAAGTGACGGCGTGGGCAGTTCCAGTGTGGAGAGCTCGGGACAGGTGGCTGCCGTGAGCAGCACCGCCGGCTTTAAGTCACCACTGGTCCAGCATAACGTGGTCGGAATGACGGGTGGTGGCAACGTCGGCAACGTAGGTGGGTCTATGATGGATTCGGATCACTGTGAAAACGGCGCCAACGGTATGGATAAGCAGACGAAAAAGAAACGGAAACGATGCGGCGAATGCATAGGATGTCAACGGAAGGACAACTGTGGTGATTGCGCGCCGTGTAGGAATGACAAAAGTCATCAGATATGCAAGATGAGGAGATGCGAGAAGCTCACTGACAAAAAGGTAAGCGAATGGCGTGGGAACCATTGTGTGCGACAATAAATTTATCTTGAAAAAAGTGTAGCGCATTATTAGATAACCATTTAAAATATGATAAGCCCCGCACGACTAATATATCATTTATGTATATAAGCACATATGAACTGTGTATATAGTGTATACTGTATATTAAGTAGCCGAAAGTGCGGCGCTACAATGGAAGCAACTTGATAATTATTTAAATTCAAATCCAATTTTTAAAATTTTTTTATCTCGATTCCTTTGTTAATTTTTTTTTTTTTTACAAGATACATAAGACCTATGCATTTTAACTATACGAGTCTCAGCTGATAAAACGAGCACATTAAATTATTTTACCGTATATTGTTATCCACTGTGCGTACCTATCTATATTATATTAAGTCCAAATGCTTACACATTTTGTTATCTAAATATAATATATAGGTATCTACATTTTATTATATTGTACAAATCGTGTCACGAAAGTTTAAAACAGTTCAACCCCTTCATGAGCTCATCGAGTGGATGCACGCGGT